TTTGCCATTGATTTTTCTTGGATGCTAAGCGGTAGCTCCGTGGCTTTCATTTCACTATTTAATAAGCTAGAGAGAAAAATAGGAATGAACTTTGGCCTTGCAACAATGAATATTTACCGAAGAATGAGTTAAAGATATTTGTATTGAGTTAAATAGTAGCCTCAGAGAGGATCGAAATCATGCTTTTTTTTAAAAAAAAAATCTAGCATTTCTTTGTGACAACACATTATGTCAGTTCTGCCAGCTCATTTGTCGACTGCAGTTCTACTTTATCAGCCCCGAGTAAAAAGAATTGATATGTCTGGATAGATAAAGTAAATGGAAACTCAGGACTCATTCCAATTTGCTGTACTTTGACATATTTTACAAACCTGAGAATAGCCAATGACACACCAGTTGCTCTTTGTATATAAATATCACATATTAGAAGATCTCTAAAGAATTGTTTATTTTCCCCCTCTGCTTGTCTATTGGTTTTGTGATTGGAAGACAAAAGTAATGTTTTCTCACCACATACATTTGCAATCCAAAACACTGTTCCAGAACAAGCATTTGTCCTCATTGGTTGGTTACCAGTCTGATAAAACCCAGAAAGATATGTTCCACTAGTGCCAAATACTAATGTAGCACACGTTTAGAACTATAATGAGTTTTGCTGTGGAAGAAAGGTTCTTAAAAGTTTTGGATTAATGCTACCCACAGGACAAATTCAACTCTGGTGTAACTTTGCTGACTGAGATATACTAGGGATTAATCTGAATCAGGTCTTACTATAGCTTTCTGATGAATTTCTTAATCCTATCCTCCAAAAGTAAAAAAAAAGAATTAGAATGGATCAACAGGTGAGTTATGAAACCACTGGCCACTTGTGGCTATTAAAGATCACACAAAAGTAGGAATGTTTTCCTCTAGTTTTAATGCAGATAGCTATATTTTGCCACTAAGGATAGGTCTACACTACAGCATTTTCTGATTTTTTTTTTTGGAAGAGGCTTTTCCAAAATTTGCCCTGTCTACACTGGGCCAAATTTCAGAAAATTCCCCCTCTCTTAGAAGATCTCTTCTTCCTCTTAGATAGGGCTTTCAAAAGAGCATGTTTTCACTTCTGCACAAAAAAAAAGCGGAAAAGCAGATGCGTTCCCTGGACATAGTAGAGTTTTTCCAGGATTCCTCTAGTATCTTGGAAACCCCCCACAATGTAGACATACCCTAAGGTAGTCTACTGCTAAAGAGGATTAGGACCAAAAGCTCCTATCTCCTGCTATGCATGATTGCTGAAGGAACTTCTATATGTCTGGGGAATTCCCCTCCAATGGCTGCTATCAAAGTTCATGTGCTAATGTGTGTGGCTAGAAGTGGGCAGCTAGTGCCACAGAACAAAGTGGGAATCAATTAAAGGTAGTGCTCATATTATGAAGCAACCCACGCTAGCCTCTCCTCTTTTTCCAATACTGCTGCAACTCAATAAAGCCCTCTTCCCAGGATGTACCCCCCCAAAAAAGTCAGAGAGGAAACTAGACAAATATTAGACCCAACAACATATAGCGATACCTCTCCGGTACCATGCCAGTGCGTCTTCTAGTGAAATGGAGATTGGCAGCATCTAAGGGCGTGTCCACACTACAGAGTTGTTTCAGAAAAATGGCCATTTTTCTGAAACAACTCTGTAGTGTGGACACGCCCTTAGATGCTGCCAATCTCCATTTCACTAGAAGACGCACTGGCATGGTACCGGAGAGGTATCGCTATATGTTGTTGGGTCTAATATTTGTCTAGTTTCCTCTCTGACTTTTTTGGGGGGGTACATCCTGGGAAGAGGGCTTTATTGAGTTGCAGCAGTATTGGAAAAAGAGGAGAGGCTAGCGTGGGTTGCTTCATAATATGAGCACTACCTTTAATTGATTCCCACTTTGTTCTGTGGCACTAGCTGCCCACTTCTAGCCACACACATTAGCACATGAACTTTGATAGCAGCCATTGGAGGGGAATTCCCCAGACATATAGAAGTTCCTTCAGCAATCATGCATAGCAGGAGATAGGAGCTTTTGGTCCTAATTTGGTATACAAAATAGATAGTGTTGAACATTTCTCAGCTGTGATAAAAAGCAGCAGACGTCTCACAGAAAAGTAAAAGCTATTTGTAGAAACAGTTCTATACTCTGCCAAATTCTCCCCTCAGCTCCACCTGTAGAATGTCATTAAATTCAGTGGGGGTGCATATACATAGCACTCTAAACAAGATACGCAATTTACACTACACAAATTGCATATCTTACTGCGAATCTATTTCAAAATAGCTTATTTTGAAATTTGGTGCCTCTACGAAGCACCAAATTTCGACATAACACTCTATTTCGAGTCATCCCTTAACCTTCGTGCATCAAGGGTTACTGGGATGCCAAAATAGCATGCCTGTTACTTTGAAAAATATTTCGAAATAACAGGCGTCTAATAGGACTGGAAGGGACCTCGAGAGGTCATCGAGTCCAGCCCCCCGCCCTCAAGGCAGGATCAAGCTCCGTCTACACCATCCCTGACAGATGTCTATCTAACCTGTTCTTAAATATCTCCAGAGAGGGAGATTCCACCACCTCCCTTGGCAATTTATTCCAATATTTGACCACCCTGATGCAGAGTAGCTATTTCGGGATACCTTCGGTATTCCAAAATAGCCATGCAGTGTAGACATACCCTGGGATTGAACTATAGAAAGAAGACAAATGCAGAAGATATAAATTCAAAGGTCAAAACACTTTCTGAGTACAAAACAAAAGAAATTGTGTTTGCTCCGACACAATTTTTCATTTTGATGTCAAGCATTAAAAAAGGTGCTACCAAAGTTCATGTACATCAGGAAAACAAACCTGGGTATACTAGGTCCCATGTGAGTGCTCTAACTACTGGGTAATAGTTATATGGTGGATGCAGTGCCACCATGTTCTTGTTCTCCTACCATCTCTTTGTCACCCCACACCAAAAAATCAAAATGTTTCAGAAATATCAAACGGAAACCATTCTTTTCATCCTTACCACACCATTTTGCTTTTTCAGTTCCATTAGCATTATTTGATCAACACGTCCAATTGTGAACAATGGTGGGTCAATTAAAACTGAGTTTGTCAGCAAATAGTTTATTCATGGAAAACATCTTGTCCACCTCCACCCTGGACACTGATTCAGGAGAACCAAGTTCAATTTCTAGCTCTACCACAACATTCCGGGGTTACCCTGGACAAGCCATTTAATTTTTCCCCTGTCTTTAAAATGGTAGTACATAGTGCCTTTGGCTCATCTATTTAGATTTCAATCTCAGGATGGTTTCTTATGACATGTCTGCAGTGTGTCTAACATAGTGGACCCTTTGGGGGCTATTCAGTGCTTAGAGAAGCTTTCAGGGAGAAGGAGGGACAAGTAATGGTCTTAGCCAGACCAATCCCCTAGCTGATAAAAGCCATAAAAGGAACAGGCAGATCTGAGATGATCCCATGGCAGAACTGCCCCCCCATTTGTTTTATTTGGGGGCCAATGGAACCTTTGGAGTCCAGCAGATCCACCAAACCCAGTCATTGGCATAATTCAGCTTCTCCTCCACTCTTTTGGAGAGGAGCTGACAAGCCTACTTCTGGGGCCACCAGCTCTAGAATCTATCAGGTTGGTAATTGTCCATGTTTTACAGTTGGGGAAACTGAGGCACGTGATTCATATTATAACAAGCCTATTCCCAGATCTGCTAACAAAACCCAGATAACATGACCCTACTTGCACCAATGAAGTCCATATTAATTACCCAATACCACATCAAGTTCTTAGTCTGCATAATATTAACCCAGTTTTATTTTAATCTGGTGCTGCTGTGCACATGCATATATCTGCATAATAATGAATATAAGGGACCTTGCATATGCATTAGATTACTTGCAAAGCATCAGTATCATAGCTGTTTTCAATTCCTGCCTTCCCATATGCCAACAGCAATTAGACTATATTATAGACTAATTGCTTGTGGAATGTCATGTTTATTTCAAAGTCATTTCTAAACATCTTGGATACCAGAATAGCACTTAAAACCTTGAGCAATCTTCTTTAAAAAGAGAAAGAGATTTGTGACTTAAAATAGATGCTGTGCTGTTTGGTTGTCTGGAAAGAGGACATAAATAGTTTCTAAGGGTATGTCTACTCTAGCCACCCTAGTTCGAAGTAGGGTGACTAATGTAGTCAAACGAACTTGCAAATGAAGCCCGGGATTAAAATATCCTGGGCTTTATTTGCATGTTCCCGGGCACCACCATTTTTAAATGCCCAGTAGTTTGAAGTCCCTGACCGCGGCTACACGCAGCACGGGCTAGGTAGTTCGAATTAAAGCTCCTAATTTGAACTACCATTACTCCTCATTGCAAAGGCATCCGTGGCCAGTCTAGATGCGATTTTGTGCAAGAAAGCCACGATTGCCATTTTAGCCACTGGCCCTCTTGCACAAGAGGACTTTTTGCACAAGAGGACTTTTTCCCAAGCAGGAGCATGAAAGTATTTGTGCAAGAAGCACTGATTTTGTACATTACAGCTCTTGCGCAAATTCAAACGGCCAGTGTAGACAGCTGTCAAGTTTTTGCGCAAAAGTGACTGCTTTTGCACAAAATGTTGCCAGTCTAGATGCACCCAGTGAGTCCTCTGTGACTCACTAGCCCTTAGACAGCTGTGAGCATCTCATGGGCTGTAGTGAACACAGAGACTAATATTAAAACAATTCTTTCTATCCTTTCAGTCATAGTAGGATCTCTCTCTCTGTCCGGAGGGATATTTGTGTGCAGTAATGGCAACTTACCAATGGCTTCAATAAGAGCAGAACAGGCTGTACTTTGGAAATTATGTAGGGCTGCTTTAGATCATTATCTGAATTTATAATCCCTTGATTCTGACATTATAGTTGCCATAGCAACCAGCTGTGACCTCACAGATGAAGCATTGTTAACAATACTCTGCCTTTTTTCCATCTTCACAATGAATAAACCCCCACACAGCCCAGAGAATGGTAAGAATTCCCATCTAGTCCATTGATGGAGAGTTTTAAGGCAGGGGGAGGTGGGATGACTTGTGGAAGGCTAGTGAGAGAATTTCTGTCAGAACTGGGACTAGCATAAAGGAATTCCTGGATACTAGTTGTTTCATATATGCCTATTCTGCTATAAATGCAGGACTATGTAGCACTTTAAAGACTAACAAGATGATTTATTAGATGATGAGCTTTCGTGGGCCAGACCCACTTCCTCAGATCAAATAATGGAAGAAAATAGTCGCAACCATATATACCAAAAGATACAAGGACAAATCACATTTCAGAAGGGGGGGGGGGGGGGAGGAAGGAAGGTTGTATTCTGAAATGTGATTTGTCCTTTTCATATGTGTTCATTTTTTAAAATTGTATGCTTTGGTATATATAATTGTGACTATTTTCTTCCACTACTTGATCTGAGGAAGTGGGTCTGAGGAAGTGGGTCTGGCCCACGAAAGCTCATCATCTAATAAACCATCTTGTTAGTCTTTAAAGTGCTACATAGTCCTGCATTTTGCTTCAGCTACACCAGACTAACACGGCTACATTTCTATCACTATTCTGCTATAGAAGAACATGGGGCTTTACAAAGAGACCATAGTCAGTCCCTGCTCACAGCAGTTCACAGTTTACAGTCTCGTTCCTAAAGGAAGAATCCATCCGCAGAAGTGGTTGGTCTGAGGTTGCTCTGTTCTTCCACTGCTGTGCACCCTTCAAGGTTTGCATGCTTGGGAAAAGCAGGAGGTGATTTTACTGCCCACCCCATCATATCCATTTGTGGCTGCCCAGCAGCTCAACTCCATTGGAACTGCACTGCTAAGGTTTTCCTCATTGTCTGTAGCCAGCTGAAGCCCTGTACCATGGCCTGGTAGGGTTTTGCACAGAGGTTTACGCTGACCATACGAGCTGGGAGAACACTGCTGAAGTAACCACAATGTTCAGTCACCTCTTTAAATGAATCCACTTCACCTAATATTTGTACCTGTGACAGGCTAGGCTGGGGCTATATCACCAAGTTCCAATGCACAGGGCAGACAACACCAGTGCGAGATTATATCCACCTACTCCTTTAAGGCTCTGGCTCCCCTCTGCCTCTAGATCAATGCAACTCATTCCCTTCCACACTTCTGGCAGGCTCCTTGCAGCCTTTACAACAAAGGAAATAAGGAATTAAACTGTCTTATCTGCAGACTTTTCCAAACAGAGTCTGACCTAGTCCTTCAGCAGACGAGAAGCATCCTGCTTCTCAGGTTCTTTTTCTTCTTAGCTCTGCTCTGCTAATTGCAAGAAGAGCCATTTCTCTCCCTTTCTGCTTCCTGCGCCTGTTTACATGCCCGTCCTTCTGCAGGACAGGTGGATGCCTTCTCACTTTACTTCCTGGGTTGCCCACACTCCGCAGGGCTGGGCCTCGCTTTCAAGGAATTAACCCCTTGCCTCCTTGCTCAGGTATGGGATGCGCCCTCTAGTTATACTGCCAATTGGTGGCCTGGTATACAGAGTAGCGTTGCTTCAGCAATGGGAAGTTCCATTTCCACCAGCACACTAAGGCTATGTCTACACTGGCATGATTTTCCGGAAATGCTTTTAACGGAAAAGTTTCCCGTTAAAAGCATTTTTGGAAAAGAGCGTCTAGGTTGGCATGGACGCTTTTCCGCAAAAGCACTTTTTGCGGAAAAGTGTCTGTGGCCAATCTAGACGTGCTTTTCTGCAAAAAAGCCCCGATGGCCATTTTCGCGATCAGGGCTTTTTTGAGGAAATCAAATCTCAGCTGTCTACACTGGCCCTTTTGCACAAAAGTTTTGTGCAAAAGAGACTCAGCCCAAACGGGAGCAGCATAGTATTTCCTCAAAAAGCACTGATTTCTTACAGTAGGAAGTCAGTGCTTTTGCGGAAATTCAAGCGGACAGTGTAGACTGCTGGCAAGTTTTTCCGGAAAAGCGGCTTATTTTCCGGAAAAACTGGCCAGTCTAGACACAGCCAAGATGTTTGTTGCTAACTTTCATGAGGACAAGACCAGCCTGTAGATATATACCTGATGCGTGGACTTTAACAGTGCTCTGGGGCAGTATCTGTGCCCGACTGGAATCTGACCCTCAGTGTCAACATGGAATTGACACTGATTGTCAGTAGTGTTCTCGCTGTTGCTTCCTATGCACACTTTGGCAGGAGGAGCTCTGGCTTTACAGGTGCCACTCAGACCTGGCATGAGGAAGTTGCAAAGGAAGGATAGGTTTTCCCGAAAATTGCCATAACTTCATTTCTATCTGTAGAGGCTTTGGTGCAATTGGAACTGTCTATGGATGTCTTAAAGGGTGATGGGCAGTGTTCCCTGTAAGCCGTGCACCCATCCAGCAGAGATTCAGGTGTAACCCAGCTGATTAGCAGAGCACTCACAGATGGCAGCATGTGTTTCTATTGGTGGTACACATCTCCACATGCCTTGGTGCACATAGTAAAGTTTAATCTGCACATCAATGGAAAAAATTAGAGGGAACATTGGGAAATTGCCCTCTTTATTTCTTACTTTTAAAAATTAAATGAAACTTGATATTTGATATTAGGCAAACCACAACAAACCTATTCTAAAGTGAAGCCGTCTGCTTCCATTCTCTGAGGATTGTTACAGGCCTCTGCTATGCAGTCTCCACCAGCATGTATCCTGGCAGCTCAAGCCCCCTTTCACGTAATTAGGAATTTGTGATCAATGACAGGTTGACAAGGATTGTCAGCAGACAATTTGCACCTTGTGGAATAGAAGTAAGGACTTTTCACACCAAACTGTTTTCTCACAGGCACCTTGGAGCTGAACAGAAAGTTCTTTCTTACAGCTTGTAACTTCTTGAAATGCCTCCAGATACCAGTGCCACCACAAACACTTGTTTTGGTCTGATTTCCTCTAGCAGAGCCACAGTGCCAAGTGTATCAGTGCTGCATAAAAGTAAGGACGTGAATTGTTTGGTAAAATTGATTCTTTTCTTCATTGCCTTCCTCTGAACCTGTTTTCTTTCAATCTCTCCCTATTAACTCTTGGAAGTGGGGACTAAATCCATACATCTGAAGACACCATACTGCAATGTACAGCTGGGTTGACTCCTCTTCATAATGAAAGGAAAAATATTCTTGATGAGAGAGATTGATAGCAAGAGTAGACTTTGTGTCTTGCACTCAGTCTAATAACAACTTCAATCTTTAGGTGGTATTTTAAGGTTTTTTTAGTTAATATCAAGAAAGTATGTGGAAAGTGCTAAAATATGAGACCTCCCATTGGCTTTGATTATTTACAAATTGGATCCTAAATCTTGATTTTCCTCTTTCTTTCCTTCTATTTGAAACATTTTAATGTGCTTCCTTATCTAAACCATCCCAAGTGATAACAGTAATAATTCCACATTTCCAGAGGGATGTGCTCAGTGAATTGTCAGTTCTTTTCCATCTCTAACTCGTCTGATCTTTAGCTTTTGAACGCAGTACACCAAATATCCCAATAACCGAGGGAGGCTCCTCCGAGATACAGAATAATCTCACCAGTGTAGATTCCACAACAAGGGTATATGCTATTTCTTAGCTCTAGAATCTGTAAGCAGATTTTTTTTATCCTGCATATTTTTATTTTATGCTTTACTGCTGATTACAAATTTAAATTTATAGTTATTTTTATGTCCAGTGTTTTATTATGTGTGTGCTCATCTGAGTTATAGCCCGGAATGGGAGATTGTTATACAGTAGTTTACTTTTAAAAGAAATAGGGCTTTTCAAGCCTCTAATACAGGAAGATGTATCACCAGCCTGAATAATTGTGACAACCATAGACCGTATCAGTGCCTGTTTGTTTGCACAATACCCTACTGCATTAAGAAAGCCATCCCAGCTGTCTTGGGCTCTGGAGTCACCCATTTCATCACTTGACACTGCAGCAGATGTTATGGATTGATAACAGACTTCACTTCATTCACTCCACATCTAAGATTACCTCTGGAAAAAAAATCAAATACATTATAACACTCCCAGCCATTTGTTAAGAAAAAAATGAGCAATGTATTCTCTCTCGCTCGCTCTCACTCTCTTTTTAAGTATTAAATGGTCCCTTTTTGGCTTTACAAATATATCCTACTATTTTTTTAAAAACATTTACCACATTCATAGTGTGGTAGGTCTGCCACAGAGAAACTAAGCAAAAGGTTTAATGATTTAATTAAATTAAGACTTGGACAAGCTTTAAAATTATGAGTTACATTCTCATTGTATCAGATGCCTTATATTTTAAGCGTTAGTATGTAAATGTGGTTTGTTCGTTGTATTGGTGGCAGAAGCATCAAGCAACTCGTGCTGCAGCTCTTGGGTGAGTAGAAAAATCCTGCTATGTCTATGTATATAAGCATCCCTCCTGCTGAGGTATGATAGTCCAGTCTACTGAAAACATACCAGATGATTGTGTAGTTAAAAACGAGGTCATCATGCAGACAAACAGCAAGAGGGCAGAGTTAAGGTGGTACTCTTCACCGTAGCCATGAACTGGGACATTAGTTAGTATTTTAGTGCTTAACTATAAAGTATTTCATATATATGCAGCTTTACTATTGGAGCAAGACTGTCATTTTACAGCGTGATCTGTGTATTGGGAAGCATGAAATTCATAGATTCCAAGGTCAGAAACAGGGATGGAAATGATTAACCAGTTAATGGGTAAGCCTCGTCCTTAACGTTACCAGTTATGGTTAACCGATAGGGGCTGGAGCAGCTCCCCACCCACCTGGGGCAGAGGGCTGGTCCAGCTCCACGGGGCACACTGCTGGCCAGAGAAGCCCCTGTCCATGGTGGGCCTGACCCAGTTCCCCACTGCAAGCTGCATGCTGGCTCTCCAGGAGTGGAGCCAGCAGGAGCTGTTGGCCTCACTCCCAGGATGCTGGCTTCGCTGTGGGCTCTGCAATATAAAAATTATGTATGTTTTATATCGCAGCATGTTTAACCACTAGGATTTTTAGCAGTTACAAAATTACATTTTAAACAACTTTTTTACATCCCTGGTTAGGAGGAGCCATTATGATCATCTTGTCTGACTTCCTTTGTAACATAATCCATAGAAGTTTCCCAAAATAATTCCTACAGCAGATATTTAAAAAAAAACCCAGTCTCGGTTTTAAAATTGCCACTGATGGAAAATACATTGTGGACCTTTGGTGAATTTTCTGGCAGTTGATTACCCTCTTTGTTACAAATACACACACTATTTCCAGTCTGATTTTTTCTAGTTTCAACTTCTTGGTTCCCTGTCCTTCCATGGGTTGCACAACGGGATGAATGTGACACCTGCCAAGAGGCAGTGACTCCTTTGGAGAATCAAAGACCATTGCTCTCAACCTTTTCAGACTATGGAAAGCCTTTCAGGAGTTTGATTTGTTTCGTGTACCCACATGCTTCATCTCACTTAAAAATGACTTGCTTACAAAATCAGACATAAAATTACAAGGGTCATAGCACACCACTCCTGGACAATTGTTTAGTTTCTTATTTTTACTGTGTAATTATAAAATAAATCAATTGGAATATAAGTATTGTACTTACATGTCAGTGTACGAAGTATATAGCAGTATAAACAACTCGTCTGTATGCAATTTTAGTTTGCATTGACTTTGCTAGTATTTTTGTCTATTGCCTGTTGTAAAACTAGGCAAATAACTAGATGAGCTGATGTATCTGCTTGAAGATTCTTTGTACCACCAACAGTACAGGAATCTCTGGTTGAGAACCACTGATCTAGGATAGCAAACTGAACCGCGACACAGGACTCCTCGGTTCTCTTAATATATCTGACCTGCTGCATGGACTTCACCAGTCTGTTCCTCTGCTTTCCCTCCCATGTCCTCAGATTTTTACTCATTGTGTCTGTTTAGATGGCAAATTATCTTATGCATATATTTGTACAAGACCTAGAATAATTTCATCCTCATTTGCAGATGGGGCCTCTAGGCATCCCTGTATGTTAAGGCTGCGAAGTTGAACACTGAGATGTTGGGAAATGCCAGAATTGAGGTTGCCTGCACAATCTCTATTAACCTCTTATTTGTCTATATGCATTATCATGCTGTCTTTAATTACATAATCATATACTACTTTTTCCACAGTACCATGCCTTATGACAACCCGCAACAGGTGAGAGCAACAATTGCTTGGAACATTCTGCTTAGCTCTTGCAGCACTGGGCTGGAGCATGCTCAGTGGAGATAGAATCTTCAGAGAATTGAGCTGATAGAATCTTCAGAGAATCGAGAATTGAGATAGAATCTTCAGGTGAGCTTGTGAGCAGTGAAATTTTTCTGATAACCCGGATGAATTTGAGCAGCTCTTCTCCAGAAGGGAAAAAAGCACATCCCTGACATAAAAGATTACTCACCTCCCACGTTTCATGTCCATGTTCCGAAGTATGGAGCTTCTCAACAAAATGGTTGTAAGAAGTAGTATTTTTTTCACAGGTAAAATGATGTATTTCATTCTTGAAAACCATTAAGCCATTGTTGTTGAAATTTTAATTAATCACTGTAACACTGTGACGACGCGTTGGGGTTTTCCTGTCTCCTGCACCCCCGAAATGGCACGAACAGACTCCACCAGCCAGTAGAATAGAGGGAGTTTATTGCTTCTCCAGGATACAGCACAGAACAGATGTCATCTGGTTACAGGAACTTGGGCTAAGAGACCTCAGTACCGCCCCTTGAGATGGGGGGTGGCTGGGCCCTACAATCCCAGCTCCCTCCCCAGCTCCTTCTCCCCTGCTTCCTAGACAGAAACTAACCAACTCTCTTCCAGCCCTGCCCCCCAGCCAGGGGCAGCATTCTACCTTCCTTTGTTTCTCTCCTTGGGGCGTAGTTGGTCAGACAGGTTGAGAGACCCTCTTTTGCATAATGACTCATCCCCTGCCCTGCTGGGCCATGCTACAGCCAGCAGCCAGCAAGTTACCCCCCACTACATCACAAACACCAATGCTTTTGGGTGGGTCATTGGCAGCAGGGAGCAATCAAGGGAACATTTGATCTTAATGCCCGAGCCAAAAAAAAAAATCAGTTCTGATAGACAAAGCTGTTGCAAACTCATCAGTCACTAGCTACTCCTAGAGAGGGACAGAGCCACCTGTCTAGCAGATATAGCTCACAATAATAATAATATGCTTAATGCCAGACATCAGAATGTATTATCGCACAATAATGAGCCAAATGCACTCACTTTAGTCCTGCAAGTAGTTGGTGGGACTTTTCCCTTTGGTACGGATTTGGCTTGATGTTAATAAGGTTTAGTTTATGATATCTTTATTCATCTGCTGACGCTTATTTTTTTCTCAAATTCCTCAGAGCGTGACTCTTCAGCAATGAAAATTTAAGCAGAACCCTTTGTGTTTTCTTTATATGCACCTGAGTGACTGAAAGAGAGGACACATTGTGTTATCACAGTGAAACATTCCAACCTCTCCCCTGAAATGAGCTGTTGCTAGATTTCATGACAGATGTTGATGCAGGAGGAACATCAAGCACAGGGCATTTCTCGCTATGGGCTCCAAACATCTACAATTGCTTGTTTCACACGACTGCGGTAGAAATACACACTAATGTCTGATAAAAAGGCTGTCGGGAAAAAAAAGCAAGTAGATTCCTTTCCCATCTACTGTATAATGAAACATTAATATAAAGTCTCAATGAAACTCCTCAACTGAGGAAAATACAGAAAATTTTCATTATGTTAAATCAAAGCCTCCAATTCATTTTGTCTACAGTAGAAAAGACATGCAACAGTAACTTACTGTAGGTAACATTTCATAAGTTAATATCTAGCCCATTATTCTTGTGTATGTTTCCTGGAAAGAATGTTAGTTTTTCTCTATTAAATACATATTCCATTAGCTCATTAACTTTCTATTGTTATTACTTTTATTCCCTCTGCTGGATTCTGCAGTAGATTATACCAGTGTCAATATGGGGTGATTTTTATTAAAGTCAAGCAACTTCTCTGAACTCAGAGGAGTTACACCAGATTTACACCTGTGCAATCGAGAGTGGAAACTAGCTGTCTGTGTGGTCCTCCACTCACCTCCCATCTCACCTGACCAGAAATATCAGGTGGATGGGCTGCACCCTCAGCAAATTTGCGGACAAGACTAAGCTATGGGGAGATGTAGATATGTTGGAGGGCAGGGATAGGGTCCAGAGTGACCTAGACACATTGGAAGATTGGGCCAAAAGAAATCTGATGAAGTTCAACAAGGACAAGTGCAGAGTCCTGCACTTGGAACGGAAGAATCCCAAGCATTGTTACAGGCTGGGGAGCGACTGGCTAAGTAGCAGTTCTGTAGAAAAGGACCTGGGGATTACAGTGGATGAGAAGCTGGATATGAGTCAACAGTGTGCCCTTGTAGCCAAGAAGGCTAATGGCATATTGGGATGCATTAGGAGGAGCACTGCCAGAAGATCTAGAGAAGTGATTATTCCCCTTTATTTGGCACTGATGAGGTCATATCTGGAGTATTGTGTCCAGTTCTGGGCCCCCCACTACAGAAAGGATGTGGTCACCTTGGAGAGGGTCCAGCGGAGGGTGACCAAAATGATTAGGGGGTGGAACACATGACCTACCAGAAGAGGATGAGGAATTTGGGTTTATTTAGTCTGCAGAAGCGAAGAGTGAGGGGGGATTTGATAGCAGATTTCAACTTCCTGAAGGGAGGTTCCAAAGAGGATGGAGAGAGGCTGTTCTCAGTAGTGATGGATGGCAGAACGAGGAGCAATGGTCTCAAGTTACAGTGGGGGAAGCCTCGGTTGGATAGTAGGAAAAACTATTTCACTAGTGAGTGGTGAAGTACTGGAATGGGTTACCTAGGGAAGTAGTAGAAACTCCATCCCTTGAGGTTTTTAAGTCCTGGCTTGACAAATCCATGGCTGGGATGATTTATTTGGGGCTGGTTCTTCTTTGGGCAGGTGGCTGGACTCAGTGACCTTCTGAGGTCTCTTTCAGCCCTGGGATTCTATGTGACTAGATCTGAGCAGCTCTGTGAGGCCTAGGACACCATGATCCTGTCAGAAAAATGGATGGAAAGGCAAAGGTTGCAAATAGCCACGTAAAAAGAAGTATAATGGGAAAACCTGGGGCTGATATTTTGCTATAATGCAGACAGCAGGGAGAGCGAGTGCTGTGCACAGAGTCACATACGTCAAGTGGCAATGGAGGTGTGTCAATAAATTGACTATAAGAAATAAACTGGTGTCATTCTGTCACATGAAATCTGAGCAAGACAATGCGTGAGGCAAGGCTGTAAGGTTTTCCTCCAGGCCTGGCCCTTTGTGTGGCTATGGGGGAAACAGGGATACTTAGTCAAGTAATGCAAGGTTGGCAAACTATGAAAGAACCCTGGAGAAGCTAGGGTGTGACATAGACTGGTCACTAAACATAAGCTAACAAGGGCCCTACAGGGAGAAGAGGGTGTAGCGAGGCTGACTCTGGGATTCAGAGGGCACTATGCAAAGAAAAGCATGGGGAGTCCTACCAGCTACTCATCTGTGGTTCTTGTCCTGCAGGTGCCAGAGGCAGGAACTGACTCTTACCCATACCAAGTCTAGCTAAAACAGGTTGTTCTCATTTCATCTATAAAATACCCACAGAAGTTGATGCGAGTCTTTTCATTGCTATTCAAGGGCTTTAAATCAGGCCCCACAAAAATTCCACTTAACTGAATACAAGAATAGACATGGGCCATCAACTGGAATCCCACATCTGCCACGCTATATCCCTTCCCATCTAGATCCAATTATCTGGGGATGGCACATAAAGAGTAGTGGGAGCGGTGTGCACTCACCCTTTCCCTGCACACAGCAGACAGATGTAAATACCACATGCACGCTAGAAAATTGAATAGATATTGGGCCAAATCTTCAGCCGCTGTCAATCGGGGTAGCACCATTGAAGAAGTCCCCTCCAATGAGGTCAATGGAGCTACAATGATTTATACTGAGATTCTGACCCTCTGCTTAACAAAACCTGTGAGAATGATAAAGGAGGCATTAATAAGGCCTGAAGGATGAAAACACTTTTCTTTCCACGGCTCATAGGAACATAGAGACATATAAATGAAATACATTTTCTCCCAATTCAGTAGCTCACACTCCATTTTAATCAAGCCCTATCATTCTTGTCATATCCCTAGCCGCTGGCTGATCTAATATTTTTTTTCCTTCAGCTCTGTGCATGCTCCTCATACATTTTCTCAGCTTGGAGTATATTTTTCCTGGTCTTCCTCTCCCTCTCATTCCATCAAAACAAATAAATGCCTTAATGCTTTTGCACATCCCAGGAAAACAATTACACTCCCCATGTAAAGATCTAGTGAAACCCCATGTATTCCTCATTTCTCCTCCTAGGAGACACAGTGCGCAGTCCCAGAATCTCCTGCCTGCTTGTGAGATGAAGAGCCTTTTAGTTGTTCTAACGAAAAGAATTAAGAGAGCTAACAGAGGTACTTCTGTGGCAGGTGAGTGGTAGTTTTAATACATTCATTTTAGGGTCAGGTCATCTGAGGCACAGACATATTATATGTCTTATTTGGAGTCCCATAAGTCACATTTGTCCTTCTCAGAAAAAGATGATTAGTGCTGAAGGAACGAGCACCTCAGGAGAAGTGGGTTTAATTCTCTCTGCTTTTCCAACACTTTCGGGTGTGACTTTGGGCAAGTTATTTAGTGGCAAGTTTTGAAGGTATTTCGGTGCCTAGAATCCAGATGCGTCACTAGTTGCATATTTGGGTCCCTAAATACCTCTGAAAATTTGGCTCTGAATCTCTCTCTGCCTCTATCCTCCAACCGTAAAAATAGCGATAAGCTACCTTGTGAGAGCGCTGCGAAGGTGAATGCATGAATGGTTATGAGGTGTTCACACATTGCAGAGTTGAAGGCCACATACATCAGAAGTCCTGTGGCACCTTATAGACCATGGGTTCCCAAACTGGGGGGCATGAAGAAATTCCAGGGGGGGTGCAAGGCAACCCAGTCCCTCTACCCCATCTTCCCCATCTTCTTCCACCCTAAGTTTTGCTGCTATTTTTGTTTTTCGGCCCTTTTTTTTTTGCTCAACAAGTTTTGCTGCTATTTGGGGGGAGGGGGGAGGTGTGAGGGTTTCTCAAAAATCAAAAAGGAGATGTGATGCCGAAAAGTTTGGGAACCACTGTATAGATTAACAGATTTATTGGAGCATAAGCTTTCCCAGATGCAACTGTTAATCTATAAGGATATGTCTACACTTGCCCCCTAGTTCAAACTAGGGAGGCAAATGAAGCATACCAAAGTTATTAATGAAGCGTGGGATTTAAATATCCCACACTTGATTAGCATATTCGTGGCTGGTCGCTATTTTAAAAAGCCAGTAGCCCGAATTAACTCGCTGTGTGTAGACACGGTAGTCCGATCCAAAACACTTCCCTCAAATTAACTGTTACTCCTTGTGCAATGAAGCAACTTCGGTATGCTTCACTTGCCTCCTAGTTCGAACTAGGAGGCAAGTGTAGACATACCCTAAAGTGCCATAGGACTTCTCGTTGCTTATGCAGATTCAGCCTAACACAGTTACCCCTCTGATTCTTGAGGGACATATACTTACTTCATCACTGTCTCGCACTCTCTCCTCCAGTTAAAAATCAGCAATTTAGCTAATCATCATATACATAGTAGCCCCGTGTCTGTGCATCTGTAATGCTGACGTACACGGCCACGCCTGCTGGCCATGTACATCACCGCCCCGCTCCCTCGTGGCAGCCCAGCTGAGCAGGCAACACTCAGCCAAGTGCCATGGCGGGAGGGAAGGGGAAGGGGGGCTCAGAGAGAAGACCTGAAGATCCCGTCTTATGACGGGCTAATTGGCTAGTCTTCCATCCATCAACATGAATCTGGAAGTCCAAGAAACAAATATGTTCTAAATCATGTGAGTTGGTAGATGACCCCAGGAAAAGGACACACACAAGAATCAGTGGCAGAGTTTATGCGCTTAACAATAAGCACATATGTAAGTACTCTGCTGGCTTCAGTTATATAGAGCCAAATTATTTACTGGTGCTAATTGGTGCAGTGCTAGGGATTGGTGCCATTTACACCCAGTGACAATTTGGCCCACTTCCTACTTTGAATACCAAAAGAGAGGGTGGGCCTAACTTTGCAACCCCATCCACTGGTTTCAGCCTGGTGTAAGTCCATGGACTTTAAAGGAGTTACTCCTGATTTGCACAAGTGTCACTGGGAAGGGAATTGTGCATCATGTGTCTAGTAATGAACAATGAATTGATAAATCAGGAGGCCAGATAAGTTCAAACAGCTTCCGCATTGACAGTCAAAAAAACCAACACCTATTACCATAGATGGAAAGTGTTTCTATGCTGGAATCATGATGATGATTAAGCTGTAGTGTAGCCACTCATGAGAAGAATGCTTCATGTAGGTTAGATGGATTGCGACCCACCTGTTATTAGTTAATAGCAATAACTAATTGTATTGCTCCTTCTTGTACTTTCTTATGTACGCAGAATATGTAAACCCTGTTATACTAGAACTGTTTTTTTGGTTTATTCAATCAGTGCTCAATATGCCATTTGGTTTGGATGACAGAGCTTTTTCCCCATCCAAATCCTTTTCTTTCTTTTCTCACTCTGTCTTTAGGTTCTCACAAGCTATTTAATACCAATAATATTCATCTGAGGACATAAATTATAAAGACTTCACTCTCATAACACTCCTGAGAGATAGGGCTGTGCTATTATCTCTATTTTACAGAAGGGAAGAGAGGCATAGAAAGGTTA